TAACATTCAAGAGTGTGCCTGGCCCAGTGCCAGAATGATCAGCATGTGAAGCTGGCAGGAAAGTAGACAGGCCAGTCCAGGGGAGCTGTGTACTTGGTTGAGGGGGCAGCCATGAGACTTGGCTTATCCCAGAAAGGAGACGAGGGTGAAAGTGCCTGGCTCAGGAGAGGCTGCAAAGATGCTGGGTTGGGCCTTCAGCCACCTGATTAGCAGAGAGACTGCCCCCTGAACCCTGGAGCCCTGGAGCCCACTCCATCCAGAAGGGTCCCAGCCTCTCTGGCCTGTGGACTCAGCCACAACCAGCTGCCCACCCCTTAGTGCCCCTCTGGGCCCTGGGCTCCCCAGGGCAGGATCAGGTTCCTGCCCAGCACTTGCAGCCGGGTGCTGGGAGCTCTGGGGGGCACCCCCAGCAGGCCTAGCTCCCACCAAGTCCAGTAGGCTTCAGGAGCCCAGCCTGCCAAGAGAACATGTGTCCTCTGGCCTGGAGGAGAGGCCACTCATTGTGACCACTGCCTGTGGACCCAGCTGCAAAGAAGCCTCATGATCTCTGAGTGTGGAGGACAGTGGGTCCCAGACTGGAGTGGTTGCTGCTTCCTGCCTGTCTCGCATCACCCAAAAGAAGGTCATGACAGGACTTTGAGAGCCCAAGGAGACTGGCCTGCAGCTCAGAGTTTGGGTGGCACCGGCCTCAGCTCTCCCACCCAAGAGAACTCTGGTCAGCCTGCCTCAACTGCCCCTTCGGATGAGCTGTGCAGACCGAGAAGGCCTCGGGGCTGGTTCTGGGCTATAGCCTGAGCAGGGGGTCCGAGACCCAGCCACTGGTGCCCTGAGGAGAGAGGCTTCCCCACCCCTGGCAAGGGATCCCAGCTGCAACCTCCATCCAGTACAGCTGCTTGCCTCCCTTCTCTGTATAGATGGAAACTGCCGCGTGTAATAAACCACAATGTGTGTATGGGTGTGCTTCTCCTTGCACACTGCCCCTGAGCACCTCTGGGGGTGGGGGGAGGGACAAGGGACGCTCCCCAGATCAGAGCCACCCCAGAAACCAGAGGAAGTTTGTTCAAGGTCAGGGCAGAGATAGGGTTTGGGGTTAGAAAGACAGACCCACAGCCTGGCTCTGCCATATGCCGGCTCAGCCCTGTGTCCACTCACTCATGTCATGGAGTCCCCAGATGCTCCTCTGATCCAGTGACCAATGACTGCTGCATGACAGATCACCCCCAAGCTTACCTTAAACCAATAATATTTCTCTCTCAATGGGCTCAGCCGGGTAGTTGTCACTCAAGCTCTCCCATGCATGGTGGTTGATGCTGGCTGGCAGCGGGGACCTCAGAGGGCCAGGACCCCTCTCTATGTGTCCTGGGCTTCTGCAGAGCATGCGTCCCCATGGTGAGTGTCCCAGATCACCAGTGGCAGGCTGGTGACCTTTTGTGGCCAAGCCTCAGAAATCATATGGTATCACTTCCTGCCGGGATCAGAGGTACACCCTAATTCAATGGGTAAGAATTAACACTGTATTTTAAGGATAAAATGTGGGAGAGTGGATCTTGTTGCAGCTGTCACTTAGAAAATTCAAACCTACCACCTCCTCTGTAAAATGGGACAGCAATGTTTACCCCTGGGATGGGTCAGACACCAGAAAGCACTCATGGTTCTAAATCTCCTCCCTTCCCCACACCAAGTAGGGGAGCAAGCAAGGGCCACAGTCTTGCAGTGTTTCAACTTCCCTCATCCCAGCCCATCCTTGTAACGACCCTGGGAGAGAAGCCTAGTGAATATGTCTATTTCACAGATGACAAAAATCAAGCACATCCAGGATAGTGTAGACAAGAACAGGCCTGCAGGTCTCCTTACAAGGGCTGACATCTAAGGAGGCCACGGTTCGAGTTGTCCCCCATGACCTGCCCCAGACCAAACTACATGGCCTCCTCACTATGCAGAAGAGGCCTGGCCATGTACTGCTAGTGAGGAAGAAAGTGTGATGTCCCCGCCTCTGTCTCCCTAAGTGGAAATAAGTGGCAGGCCATACTACTTGTTGGCCAGTTGTGTGGCTCACCGGGGAGGCCAGTAGTATGGAAAGGGACAGAAGCACAATGGGGCTATGGCAACTGATGGAGATCACTGGGCATCCAAGCATCCTTTGGAGCCCCAGCATAACTTCACCAATTGAATGTGCTCCACAGTGTGTAATCCGCTCCTCCCTCCAGCCAGGTGCCTCCCTGGATCCCATAACCAGTCCCATGAAGGACAGGACCTATATGATTGGTGTCCCTGTTTCCACTTTATAAATGATGGAGCAGTTAGTCACCTCCCCAAGGACACACAGCCAGGACAGGGTGACAGGCAGATGAGGCCCAGGTTCTTGGATAACACCAGTTTATCCTTCCAAATTGTCTGGCGGGGCATGGAGTCTGCTAGACAGTGTCCTGATGATGGGGGATTGGTAGGGCTATGCTGGGGGGGGGGGGGGCAGAAGCCACAAGTTCCCACGCCCCGGACATCCCAGCTCATTGGTGGCCCACTGCTGCCCCCTTGTGGCCTCACACCGTGTATCATCAGGTCTGCACATTTCACAAGCTTCAAAGTTCAAGCTGATGGAGTCCTCCAAGAGCTTGGGTTGGGGACAAGAGACTAGAAGAGCGAATGATGTGCTTGAGGTCCCAGCTGAGACTCGGGGTTGTCCCCTGCCTCACAGCTGAGCCTTAAGGACCGAAGCTTTGCGTCTCTGCAAAGAGAGGTAGCTCTGCCTCCAACCACCCCCTTCCAAAGCGAGGGAAGCACATTTAGAGCCCCAGTGTGTACCATGGCAGCTACACTAGCACAAGGATTACTATCCCCTTCTCCAGACGAACGGAGGTCGAAGAGGAATGGGCTTACCCAGGCTTCCTTCCTCCTGATCCCCAGGATACTGCTAGGAACACATGGGGTATGTGTGGTTGTCACAATGATTGGGGGACACTCCTGGCACTCAGATCCAGTTTCAGCCACTGCCTCCCATCCTCTGCCCTCTTGGCCTCTGATGGTACCTCGAAGCTGATGCATGAGATAACAGAGGAGTACTGGGCATGGGGCCCAGAGGCAAGGAGTGGGCTTTTCTGAGCAGGAAGAAGGTGAAGCTTCCTGGTGTTGTACTGACCCTGTGGGAGACACTCTCCGCCCAGGAAATGGCCCAGCCTGCTCAGACCTCCAGCTGTACTGCCTCCTGGACCTGGACACCCCAGGAATGGATGAGATATGAACTGCAACCTTCTCCCCCTTACCCCAAGGCAGGAACAGTCCCTGAGCCAACCTGACTTCTCTGAGCTGCCTTGGGCCACGAGAGGCTTGTGTTTGGACTGAAGACAAAGCCAAAGATGGGGCCCAAACAGGATTCTCAGGCTCCCTACCCACCCACCCCCAACCCCTTCTATTTTATTTATTTATTTATTTATTTGTTTATTTTAGGTACAAATTATTTTTTATGTTTTTTTTTGGCGGGGGGGGGAATCAGGACAGTCCTTCTAAATCAGTTTGGGAAGACAAAGAAGTTCTGGAAATGGATGGTGGTGATGGTTGCACAATGTGAATGTACTGAATCCCACTGAACTGTACACTTTAAAATGGTTTCAGGGCAGTCCCGGTGGCTCAGTGGTTTAGCGTGGCCTTTGCCCAGGGCATGATTGTGGAGACCTGGGATTGAGTCCTGCATGGGGCTCAGCATGGAGCCTCCTCTTCCTCCCTCTGCCTGTGTCTCTCCCCGCCTCCCTCTTCTCTCTCTCTGTCTTATGAATAAATAAAATATTTTAAAAATAAAACAAAAATGGTTTCGGTGGTACGGTTATTTATATGATACCACAATTTTTTTTTTTAGATTTTATTTATTTATTCATGAGAGACACGGAGAGAGAGGCAGAGACAAAGGCAGAGGGAGAAGCAGGCTCCCTGCAGGGAGTGCCATGCAGCACTGGATCCCAGGACCAGGTGCCACCCAGGTGCCCCCATACCACCACAATTAAAAAAAAAAAAACTCCAAATGAACTTTAATAAATACGTTAAGCATTTTACAGCAATGGGGAAGAGATGAAGAAATCAGCGATGAGGGAGCAAAGCAGGGAGGAGGCTGAAACTCATGAAAGGTGACAGAAGGGAACCTCCTCTTCCTCAGCCTGTTCAGGCTGCAACCCAGGTCCCCTGTTCTGAGAGGCTTGCCAAGGCACAACGTCCCAGGGCCTCACCCCAGTTGGGGTTAGCTCTCTGGTAGCCCAGCTGCCCAGCCCATTGGGGATGATTGCTTGCTTCTCATTCACTGGACTGGCCATCAGACAGACCCTGACTGGAGTCCAGCCTGGGCTCCACACCTGCTCCGTGCCTGGGAGCAAAGCCTCCCTCCTTTCCGGGCTGGGTCTCCAGGCCACGCACTATAGGGCTCGGCAGGCCTCCCCACTCTCTTCCTGCCTCCACAGTGCATGGATTCTCTTAGAGTCCATACATCTCTGCTCCCCCTGCCTGGATGCCAGCAGGAGGCGTGCTGCCCATGCTGCCCACGCCCGTGACCCCGGTGGTCAGTCCCAGCAGGGACACTGAGCCCTCCTGCTGCTGGTTCAGGAGACCGGGAAGTCGGAAGTCGTGGGTGGGCCCCACGCACCCAGCCGCACTGCCGCGCCCTGACGATCTCCTCTCCCACCCTGAGGCCCCGGGCTAGGTGTCTATCACCCATCCCAGTTAACGCTCACGGGGCAATCCATGCGATACAGCAGGAGGCGACTCGGAGACTCAGCCCCGACCTCAGAAGGCTGCTGCGAGACGGAGCCGCAGTGGGGTCACCCCGGAGCCCTTCCTTCGCACAGAGGGAAAGTGCAGCGTCGGGAGAGAGGCAGGGGCGGGGCCGGGGCAGGGCTCGAGATGGGCCTGGGCGGGGGCGGGGCCTGGGCGGGGGCGGGGCGGGGGGCGGGGCCGGGGCGGGGGCGGGGCGGGGCCTGGGCGGGGCGGGGCCTGGGCGGGGCCGGGGGCGGGGCCTGGCGGCCGAGCACGCGAGAGCCTTCTCGGCGCAGTCTCCGCGCGACTACGCGCCCGGTGCTATGGCCGCCGATCGGCGCGGGAAGGTCGAGACGCTGGCCCTGAGGCGGCGGCTGCTAAGGTACCGAGACGGTAGCGAGGGGCGGTGCGCGCGCGCACGTCGAGCGCGGAGCCCGCGGAGCCCGCGGAGCCGGCGGAGCCCCGGGACCGCAGCCCCGGCCGCGCGGCGCCCCCGCTCCGCCCCCCCCGCCGCGCCCTCGCCGGGCCGCCCCCACTGCGCTCCCCGAAGGCCTCTGCCCTGGCTCCGGGGAGGACCTCCTCCGGGTCGGCGGGCGCGCCTCCGGGACCTGGGCCTGGCCTGAGGGTGGCCCGGAAAGGGACTGAAAGTTCAGACGAAGGGTGGGCACGGGGGGGCGTTTCTCAGGAGGCCTTAGAGGGTCAGGCCTGCCAGGACCCGTGAGGGGGCGAGAGCTAGGGGCTGACCCCAGCGGGGCTGCGGCGACGCTCGGCTGGCCAGGACCCTCAGGACTGGGCGGCAGCCACCTGTGGGGGCGCCCTCCCTCGCCTTTCCTTGGGGATCCAAGGGACTAAGGCGGGCACCTGCAGAAATGAGCAGGGCCGTACAGCCTCCCGGTGACAGGCGGTTTCACTTTGAGCAGCTTCTGAGCCATCCCGTTCCTCCTTTCCAGCCACCTGTACAGTGGGGTCCAGAAGCAGGGAAGCACACTGCGCCCTTCAAGCTTTTGTGCCTTCCAGAAACTCAGGGGGAAGGGGAAGGTGTCTGTGGTGGGTGCACTTGTCCCTTCAGGTCTTCAGACGTGGCTGTCCACTGCTTGCTGTCCCCACAGCAATTCTTGCAGGCTCTTTTATCCTGAGGATCCTATTAAGATTGTCCGGGGCCAAGGACAGTATTTGTATGATGAACAGGGTGCAGAATACCTCGACTGTATCAACAACGTGGCTCATGGTTAGTATCATACCTGGGGCCGGTGGGGCAGGGGAGGGGGCTGAGGCTGTGGACCTGGTCCCGGGTGATCCCGAGATTGTAGAGAGAGGTGGAGAGCTTGAGTTGAGCAGAGGAGCCCAGTCTTTCAGGTGTAGCTACTGTAGAGTTTCTGCGCGGCTGCTGTGCTAAACCAGACAAACCTAGGTCTGAAGTCCAGTTCCTCTTGGGACTGGTGGCCAGCTCAGAGAGCGTCATTCCACCTGGCCGTGACCAGCCACACAGCAGAGCCCTGGCCAGGTGCTGGGGGTCATGGCAGGGCTTCAGCCCCAGCGACCTTCTCAGGCGCTAAGCAAGGAAACTGAAGTAGGAATTCAGTTGTCCAGGTGGGGCTGCCAGGGCTGATGGAGCCAAAGGGAGCCTGTAACCCAGCAGACACATTAGGAGTTAATGAAGTAGAGGGTAGAAAGCAGGGTCTCTAGGGGCGCCTGGATGGCTTAGTCGGTTAAGCATCCGCCTTCAGCTCTGGTCATGATCTCAGGGTCCTGGGATCAAGCCCCTGCTCAGCCGGGAGCCTGCTTGTCCCTCTCCCCCTGCCCCTACCCACCCCCACACACACTTGTTCTCTCAATCTCTCTCTCTCTCAAGTAAATAATTAAAATCTTCAAAACAAGGGATCCCTGGGGTGGCGCAGCGGTTTGGCGCCTGCCTTTGGCCCAGGGTGCGATCCTGGAGACCCAGGATCGAATCCCACGTCGGGCTCCCTGCATGGAGCCTGCTTCTCCCTCTGCCTGTGTCTCTGCGCCTCTCTCTCTCTCTCTCTCTCTCTCTCTCTCTCTCTCTCTGTGTGTGTGTGACTATCATAAATGAATAAAAAAATTTAAACAATTAAAAAAATAAACTAAAATCTTCAAAACAAAAAATGCAGGGCCTCTAGTCCAGACTACCTGAGTTCATGTCCCTGCCTTCCACTTAACTCTGTGCTCCTGGGCAAGCTACTTAATTCTCTGTGCCTCAGTTTGCTGATCTGCAAAATAAACATGGTAATATTCACCTCAAGGTGTTTTGGAGAAATAAGTGAGTTAATTTGGATAATTTGCTTTGAGTGTGCCTGGCACATGGCGAGCCCTCAGCACATGTTCACTGTTGTAACCCCTGGCTGTTGGCAATCAGCATTGCCTCCAGCCCCCCTGACTAGCAAAGAGGTCGGTCCTGCCCGCAGACGCGCCCCACATACTGTCTGTCAAACAGGCCTCAAGAAGCTCCCTTAAAGACCTGGATTTGCTAGATTGGGATTTTGTCAATGACATTTTTCTTCTGCCAGAATCTCAGGGACGCCTTTCCAGGTCTGCCTTTCCAGAACCAGCATCTCTGTCACACACACCTGTCTTCAGACTCCCCTCTCTCCTTCCCACCCCTCCCCCACAACTGCTCTGCTAGGTTTATGGACGGGGGCTGGGGGAGGCCCAGTGGGACTGGCTGAGCAGAGCCACCATGTAATGGAGGTGGCCCTCTTCCAGTTGGCCACTGCCACCCTCTCGTGGTCCAGGCAGCACACGAACAGAACCAGGTGCTCAACACCAACAGCCGATACCTGCACGACAACATCGTGGATTACGCACAGAGGCTCTCAGAGACCCTGCCGGAGAAGCTGTCTGTGTTTTATTTCCTGAATTCTGGGTAAGTGGACTTTGGCCAGCCCCCAGCAAGAGGGTGAGATGCTGAAGACTGACAGAACTGCTCACGTGGGCGAAACCTAGTACAGCTGACCCAATGTGCCCTGGGGGAGAGGCAGCCTTGGCCTGGCTGGCCGGGTGCCTGCATCCCCAGCTGTAGACCCTGGCACTGACTCTGTTGGGTCCGGTTTTCTGGTCTCTTACTAAGGCATGCCATTACCTCCGTTCCATGACTGCCAGTTCCGTGATTGTCCTTGGGACTTACCTAGGTGATCTGTTCCCTTGTTTCTGCCCTATGAATATCCATCACAGCTCGGGGGTTACAGCCAAAATCCCTGCCCTCAGGTTGCTCAGTAAGGAATGAAAACCTTGAGTAGTCCTTCACAGAAATGCAGAATTAAAAAAAAAAGAAATGCAGAATTACTAAGAGGGGCCATCGTCTGGAGGAGAAATAAGGGACCTGATGAGGCAGAGATGCAGTGAGGGGCTCCAGGCTTGCTCGGAGAGCGTCAGAGAAGGCTGCCCTGAAGGAACACTATGGGGCAAAGAGGAAGGAAGCTGCCCACGTTGGAAGTGGGCAATGGAAGTGGAGTGTTCTTGTCAGGGTTCCTCAACACCCAGAATAGCTAGTGCAAAGCCCTGCAACAGGAAGGGCATGGCACCCGGCACACTTGAGGACCCAAAGGGGGAGGAGCGGGTATGAGCCGACACATTCCAAGTGAGAAATTTGTTTTTATCCTAAGGGTGTTGGGAAGCCATCTGAGGGTTTTAACCAGGCAAGTGAGGGCTTCCTCAGGGCTGAGGAAGAGCAAGAGCAAGAATGGACACTGATAGGCACCAGCTCAGCGGCCTGGTTGACAGGTGATGGTAGCTCACACTAGGAGTGGCAGTGGGAACAGAAATGGCAGATGATGATGTGTGCATAGAACCAGCCTAGCCCACCTGGGAAAGCACGTTCCTACAAATCCTGTGCCCTGGCATATGGAATCTAGTGATAAGCGTTAGCATCATCATTGTCATTCTCACACACCAGTCCCCAGTAATTTCTAGGAAGTGGAATTTCCCATCTTCATTTTGCCAATAAGGAAACAGTCGTTCAAAGAAAGGATCCAGCTTGGCCCAGGGTCATCCACATAGGAGAAGGCAAAGCCAGCACCAGTGCATCTCTGGGAAGAGCAGAGAGCTAGGTCCAGGAGTCAGAGCTCCCTGGGCAGTGGGGACAGTGACATTTGCTAGTTTACTCCACCACATTCACTCTGGATTCCAGTGACTTCCACATTGCCAAACCAGTGGCCTCTTTGCTGTCTTTGTCTTGTTCTGTCTCAGCAGTGTTGCTAGTGTTGCCACTTTCTGGAAATGCTCTCTGGTCTTGCTCCAGGTTTCTGTAGCTGTCTTTCTGAGCCTTCTCCCTCTGTGATCTCATCCGTTCCCATGGGCTTAGATATCGTCCATGTGCTGGTGATTCCCAAATTTGTGTCTCAAGCCCAGGCGCTGCCCACGTGTGCCAGGTGCAAGGTTCCAACAGCCTACTTCTGGACCATCTCCAACTTGATGTGTCCAAAAGGAGTTGGTTGTCTTCTGCCAACACCTGGTATGGGACCAGGGCACAGGCTCTCCTGGCCATTCCCAGGATGACATCCCCTGTCAAGGCCACCTCCACCCTGTCTTCCCTCATAAACGGCAGTATCATCTGCATCTCTGCTCCAGGCAGGAACCACACACCCTCCCAGGCTCGCATCATGTCCCCATCGTCTGTCACCAGGTTTGTCTTCTACCATCTTTCTGCTCTCCATGGTGTCCTCCTAGCTCTCCTCCCCACCCCTTCTATTCCATTAGGCCCACACAGCCAGCCAGAGGCCTCCTCCCCAAGTAGGAGCTGAATCATGTCCCTTCTCAGATTAAAACTCTTCAGAGGCGCCTGGCACAGGCTCAGTCAGCAGAGTTTGTGACTCTTGATCTTGGGGTTGTGAGTTCAAGCTTCACACAGAGTGAGTTCAAGGCCCCCGTATTATTTTAAAAAATAAAGTCTTTTAAAAAAACAAAACAACTCTTCAGTAGCTTGGCACGGCACAGTGAAGAAAATCCAGCACCTTCCAAGGCCCTGTATCAAGGCCCCAGAGTGTCTCTCCTGAACTAGGTTACTTACACTGCCTAGAACCTTCCCCCTGGGGACCCGGTTCAGGTGGCATCTCCTCCCCGAGTTTTTCCCTGACCCCTGTTAGGTTGGGCTACCATGACAACACCACAGACTGGGAGACTTAAGTGATATAAATGTATTTCTCCTGCTCCTGGAGGCCAACATCCAAGAAGAGGGGCTCAACCTCTTTGGCTTCTTTTAGGCTGTCTCCCTGGTATATGATTGGCCACCTTCCTGCTGAGTCTTCACTGGGTGTTCTATATCTCCACACCTCTTGTGTCTCCGTGTGTCCACGTTTCCTCTTAGGAGGACTCAGGTCAGATTGGATTAGGGCCTGCTCTGCCCACCTCATTTTAATTGAATCACCTCTTTAAAAGCCCTATTTCCAAATACAGTCACATTCGTAGCTGCTAGGGGTTAGGGCTTCAGCATAGGAATTTGGGGGCACACAATTCAGCCCATCAGACCTCTTTATCTGAAGGAAGCGTCTGCGTGGTTCTCTTGGAACACTTATCAAAATGATCATTCTTTCATTTTTTTCGTTTTTGTTTTGTTTTGGCTTGACTTGGCCTCCCTGACACATACTAGAATATAAGTTCCAGGAGGTCCAAGACCTTTCATTTACTACTCCTCCCCCCACCACCACCCAACTCTTAGCACATAAGAGGCATCTGATAAAATTTTCACTGAATGAGTGAGCTCAAACGACTCACAAGTGGTATCCTAGGATCTTCCTGCTGCTGAAAGGGCTCTTCATTTCCTCCTGGTTTCTCGGTAGGAAGCATATCCATAAGGAAAGCCCTTGGACAGCTGTCTGAGCAATGCCGTCCTTTTCTGTCACAGGTCAGAAGCCAATGACCTGGCCCTGAGGCTGGCCCGCCAATACACAGGACACTGGGACGTGGTGGTATTAGACCAGTAAGTGCCCTTTCAGGAGCCTGGGTCTACCACTTACTGGGGATCAGTAAGGCTCAAGCTTTGAGTGCCTTGGGCAGGAGGATGAGGGGCCTGGGCTACTAGAGGGAAGCATAAGGACAAGGCCACAGAGACACCCCTACATACACCAGGGGGCACTTCCCCCAGCCTCTTCTGGGAGTGAGGGATGCTTTGTAACATCACAAGAATTGGCCCCATGCTTTAGGTATTGAGTATCTGCTATGCATGAGGCCCAGGGCTAGAGCATTATCCCCTTCGAGATTCATGACAGTTCTGCAAAAGAAACCTCCCCCTACGCCAACTTCACGGAGGAGAGCACTGAATCCAGAGAGGTTAAATGATGAGTCACCAATACCTAGCTAGTAAGTGGCCTTTCAGGAAGTCTTGCTGGTTCCCAGCCCCAGAACTTGGGGACTGGGTTGGGTCGGTCTTCCTGTGGCTCCTGATATGAGGAGACAGTCATTGGGGCTGGGCCATGGAGTCCGTGCCACCCAGACCTGAGCCCTCCCTTCTCCCCTCAGTGCTTATCACGGTCACCTGAGCTCGCTGATCGACATCAGTCCCTACAAGTTCCGAGACCTGGATGGCCAGAAGGAGTGGGTCCATGTGGTATGCACTGCCAAAATGGGCAATAGGTCGGTGCCCTCCCTCTGGCCTGAATGACACGGTGCTGTCACTCCCCACAGGCACCTCTCCCAGACACCTACCGGGGTCTATACCAGGAGGACCACCCCGATCCTGCTGGGGCCTATGCCAACGAGGTGAAGCGCGTGGTGAGCAGCGTGCAGGAGAAGGGCAGGAAGGTAACCACATCTGCAGGGTCCCATGAAATGGAACAGCAAATGTCATTTCCTTCCCTACCAGCACAGTGCTCGACACTGGGGACCCTGAGAGACCCTGGAACTAGGGCCCACCCTTGAGGAATCTAGTAGGAGGTTTGGGTGCTCAGCAAGGAGTTTAGATAAAGACATGTCCTGGGTGCTACCGGAGTCTAGGGATGCGGGCTGGACTGGTGTGGGCGTGAAGGAGGGTCCTCAGAGGAAGTGCTGCCTGATTTCAGTGAGGAGGAGCTAGCACTCACAGTGGGCAGGGGAGGGGCAGGTAGGAGAAGAAAGGCATCCTAAGCAGAGGGGCAGCCTGAAAAGGTGGAACCCCATCAATGTGGGGTGGCCTGGCCGAGCTGGCAGGAGATGAGCCTGGAGAGGCAGGTGGGACCCCCCACCCCCACCCCAGTGCCATAGGACCACAAGGTCTGTGCTGAGCAGCTGAAGGCCACCGGGAACCTTTGAAGGGAGAGTAACAAGAGGGGATGCAGGAGGCCAAGGCAGAAAGCCCCACATGTGCCAGGAGGTAGGCGTGTCTGGGTGGAGGGCAGGAGACACAGACACAGGAGGTACGGAGATAACAGACGCAGATGATGAGGAGGCAGAGGCTGTGCTGACTCATGGATCATGGATGGAAGCCGCGTTTCTCTCCATGGGGGGGACAGGAGTCACCAGGCAGGGACAGGGAAGCCCGGGGGGGGGGGGGATCAGTGGGTTTCATTTGGGACATGCTAAATACAAGGGGCCCGGAGAGTCCCACATGGTAAGAGTTGGTTTGCTTCTTGAGAGAAAACCCAGTCACAGGCCAGATGTGATCCGGAGCTCAAGGTGACCATATGGCAACGCTGGCGACTCGTCTCACCAAGGAGCCAGCGCTGAGCCAGCATACCACCCCATGTCTCCACGGGGTGGCCCCAGCATCCTATCTCATCCACAGATTGCAGCATTCTTCGTGGAGTCTCTGCCCAGTGTCGCGGGGCAGATCATCCCCCCTGCCGGCTTCTTCCAGGAAGTGGCAGAGTGAGTAGCCCTGAGGGGGCGCTATAATGGGGCTTCCCGACATTTGTTCCTAATTCCAGCCTCAGCTTGGCCTCTTGACCAGAAAGAAATGGTGGCCCTGAGAAAGTCAGACGCCTGCCTGATGCCGCCACCTTGTTGCTGGCAGAGCCAGGGTTCAGAGTCCAGGACCCCCCAGCTCTGATCCCATCCCTCTTGCCACAGGCCTCATCAGCTGTGTGTCCTCTGCTACAGGCACATCCACGGGGCCGGAGGGGTCTTTGTCGCAGACGAGATTCAAGTGGGCTTTGGCCGAGTAGGCAAGCACTTCTGGGCCTTCCAGCTGCAGGGAGAAGACTTTGTCCCCGACATTGTCACCATGGGCAAGTCCATTGGCAATGGCCACCCTGTAGCCTGCGTGGCCACAACCCAAGCTGTGGCAAGGGCCTTCGAAGCCACTGGTGTTGAGTACTTCAACACGGTGAGTGCAGGCTCTGGGACAAGGGGGCACTGTGGGTTCTGCTGGGCCTCAGCCTGCTTGTCCTTAGTGGGCAGAGGCCATAGCCCTTCCCCTATACCCAGCACAGACTTCTAAGATGCTGCCCTCGGGGGGTTCCCACAGATCAGAGGAAAAAACACACAACCTTTAAAAACTAGCATTGATCCAAAAACTGTCACAAGAGAGCATGCCTTGTCTCGTCTGCAGGAAGAATACAAGGGGCCCTCCCTTCCCCAGATGCTACTGCTGTGTGCCAGGCTCTGCTCCTGGGCCGATGCAGATGTGTCAAGAGTTCCATCTGTTTGGGTGCCTACTGTCTGGGAGCACAGTTGACATTCCAGTAGGAGCTTCAAGGAGGACGTGGCTCCCCGTCCTTGGGCTGCAGGCCGGAGAGCTTTGCCTAAGTGAAGTGGGTCCTTGTGTCACACTGAGAGAACATGCAGTGGATGTGGGGAGCGTGGTGGTCACCGGGGGCTTCCTCAGACCGATCCTGCAGGCAGTGACGAGCCATGGAACAGTTTTCACAGATGAGATGTAAAATAAACATTAGAGAGATCTCTGGCAATCTGTGGAGAAAGAGCTGGAGGTGGGGAGACCCATCCAGGCAAGGGAGGAGGCCTAAATGTGGGTGTGGGCCAGAGGGAAGGAATAGGAAGGGACAGTGTCGACGAGGGGAAGAAGAACCCACTGTGACTTCCCAAGAAAGCCAGTTTGAGTTGGAGGCTGAAACAGGTCGAGATTGGGCAGGATGGTGGAGAGGAGGCAGAGAAGGTCGTTAAGGGCAAGGGCCAAGGACTCGGCACATCGTCACTAGATGCCCAGGGGACACACAGACAGATGCCCTGGACAAGCTCCCTTTTGAGGGGAAGACAGACCCACAGACATCTGAGCCAAGAGAATGATGGAAGTGGTGTGACGTCGGCCCTCGGAGAGCACAGAGACAGCATAGGGGATGCAGAGAGGGGCAGAGAAGAGGTGTGGGACAGACATTGGAGACATCATGTGGGTGGAAGAGCGGGAGGCAGTAGCCCTGGGGGCAGGAAGGAATGTGTCCTGTGGGGTGAAAGACAGACTACCCCATGGAGCACTATCTGGGGTTTTGTTTATCTTAACCTGAAGTGCTTGTAGTTAGATTATGTAAACTGATTCTTTAAAGACTCATCCTCTGTCCCTCCACCATCGTCTTTTAACCAGTTAACTGGTTACCTTTTTTTTTTTTTTTAAGATTTTATTTATTTATTTGAGAGAGAGAGCGCGAGATCACAAGGAGCGGGGAGGGGCATAGAGCGAAGCAGGCTCCCTGCTCAGCGTGGGACTCGATCCCAGGACTCTGGGATCATGACCTGAGCCAAAGGCAGACGCTCAACTGACTGAGCCACCCAGGCACCGTAACCTGATTACATTACTCTGATTAATGTTGTAAGCATCAAGAAGCCATCATTCCAAATGGAAGTTAGGACCTGGACAGTGACCTGCATCTATCCATGTGGCTGCCCCCTGTTGCTGTTTCCTTGCCCCCACCCCTACCCTGGTAACCAGCACCAGGTTCATTGTTCATTCTGGTTGTTTTTAGCCTTACAAAGAGTGTATCATGCTGTGCATTCTTTTAGGAGATTGGTCTTTTCCACCTAACATTATATCACCAGGAGTCCATGTTGTTTGTCACCAAAGTTTGCTCCATAATATCCCACATAGGAACATGCCGTGATTTATTTGTCTATCCCTGTTGATGTGCTTTCGGGTTGTTCCATGGTTTTCGCTGCTATAAACATTTTTAGAAGTTTCTATTTTGTAAGAGTTTTTCTTAAGAGGAGGCCTTAAAGTGGACTTGCTGGGTCATGGGGTCTCTGTCCACTCTGTATTTGAGACGATGACCTGTTTTCCAGAGTAGTTCAAAAGTTAACTATCAGTGGTGTATAAGGTTCTGTGGGTCTACTTCCTCTCAAACACCTTTGAATTTTTGCCAGGCAAGTAGCATGTCAAATGGTACCCCCTCAAATCAGGAAATGGTCTTGATATACCATTCCCTGGTTTCAAATTATGTGGAACATCTCTGTAACAAGTGTGCTCGTTAATCCCCATCACCCGTTTACCCCATCCTCCACCCTCCTCCCCTCTGGTGACCATCAGTTTGTGCTCTAAAGAGTCTGTTTCTTGATTTCTCTCTCTTATTCCCTTTGCTCGTTCTTGTTTCTTAAATTCCACATGAATGAAATCATATGGTATTTGTCTTTCTCTGACTTATTTTACTTATAATACTGTAGTTCCATCCATGTTGCAAATGGCAAGATTTCGTTCTTTTTTATGGATGAATAATATTCCATTGTATATATAGAGAGATACTTCTTTATCATTCGATGGACACTTGGGCTGCTCCCATGTTGTGGCTATTGTAAATACTCCTGCTATAAACCTAGGGGTTCATGTATCCATTTGAATTAGTGTTCTTATATCCTTTGGGCAAAAACCCAATGGTGTGATTGCTGGATCATAAGGTAGCTCTATTTTTAAGTTTTTGAGGAAACTCCATACTGTTTTCCACAGTGGCTGCACCAGTTTGCATTCCCACCAACAGTGCACAGGGGTTCCTTTTTCTCCACATCCTCACTAACACCTGTTTCTTGTGTTGCTGTTAGCCATTCTGGCAGGTGTGAGGTGATACCTCGTAGTTTTGATTTGCATTTCCCTGGTGGTAAGTGATGATGAGCATCTGTTCATGTGTCTGTTGGCCATCTGGATGTCTTTTTTAGAGAAATGTCTGTTCATCTCTCCTACCCATTTTTAAACTGGATCGTTTGTTTTTTGGGTGTTGAGTTTTGTAAGTTCTATATATATTTTGGATATCTTCATATGTTTATTGGCCATGTGTTTCCTCTTCTGTGAAATGTTTTTTCTTTTGCCCATTTTTTGACTGAGTTACTAGAGTTTTTCTTATTTGTGAGGCTTCTGTGTGCCTCTGTGTGTGTGTATATTTGTGTGTGTGTACATATACATAGGCATACACACACACACACATATATATATATTATTAATACTAGCCCTTTGTCGGGGCACCTGGGTTGCTCAGTGGTTGAGCGTCTGCCTTTGGCTCAAGTCATGATCCCAGGTTCCAAGGATCCAGTCCCTCATCGGGTTCCCCATGGAGAGCCTGCTTCTCTGCCTATGTCTCTGCCTCTCTCTCTCTCTGTCTCTCATAAATAAATAAATAAAACCTTTGAAAAAAAAATACTAGTCCTTTGTCAATTTTGTAGGTTGGATCCCTCAGTAATTTTAAAGGGATTCTAAGTTCAAAAGTAGGAGGACCTGGGTACTAGGAGGGCTCAGTCTGTTAGGCATCTGACTCTTGATCTCAGGTCAGGTCTTGATCCCAGGGTCATGAGTTCAAGCCTTGCATTGGGCTTCATGCTGGGAGAGGAGCCTACTTTAAAAAAAAAAAAAAAAAAAAAAGGGTAAAGACCGGGATCCCTGGGTGGCGCAGCGGTTTGGCGCCTGCCTTTGGCCCGGGGCGCGATGCTGGAGACCCGGGATCGAATCCCACATCGGGCTCCCGGTGGATGGAGCCTGCTTCTCCCTCTGCCTGTGTCTCTGCCTCTCTCTCTCTCTCTCTCTCTCTCTCTCTCTCTCTCTGTGACTATCATAAATGAATTTTTTAAAAAAAAGTGTAAAGACCACAGCATTATTCAATTCTAGGTTTTTCAAATCTTTTTATTATTAACATACGACTAATGACACTGAGGTCAAAAGTCATCTTATGTGATACTTTGTAAAATATGTTGAGGTGATTTGTTACTTGATTATTCTACATTTTCTTAAGAAAAATGTGTATTCCCTAAATGTTTGCAGAACTCTGTAAATGTCTCTTAGGTCACACTTGTTAACTGTATTATTTGAATCTTCTGTATTCTTGCTGGATGTTTTCTCTACATAACATATCAATCATTGTGTAGAAATCTCAGTATTTAAAAACATCAATTTTTCCTTGTATTACAGTTAAGTTTTTGCTTTAAGCTTTAAATATATTTAAGTATATTTTTTATTTCTATATGTTCATTGGGAATTGAATTTTTTTCTCTAATTTTATTTTTAAATAATATCTACACCCAGTGTGGGGCTCAATCACTACCCTGAGATCAAGACTCGCATGCTCTGCCTACTGAGCCATCCAGGCAACCCAGGGAATTGCATCTTTTTTTTTTTTTTTTTTAAGATTTTATTTATTTCTTTGAGAGAGAACATAAAGAGAGGGACAAGCAGACTCCCTGCTGAGCCGGGAGCCTAACACAGGCCTCAATCCCAGGACCCTGAGATCATGAACTGAGCCAAAAAGCCAGACATTTGACTGCAGGCATCCCTTGAATCTTTTAAAATTTGAGGTATAACTAACATATTAGTTTCAGGTGTACAGCATAATGATTCAATATTTGTTTCAAAATGATCACCAAAATAAGTCTAGTTAGCATCCATCACCACACATAGTTATAGAGATTTTTTTCTTGTCATGAGAACTTTTTTTTTGTCATGAGAACTTCTAAGATCTACTCTCTTAGCAACTTTCAAAAATAGAGCATTATTAACTATAGTCACCATTCTGTACATTATACCCCTAGAACTTATTTATTTTTAAAGATTTTTATTTATTCATGAGAGACAGAGAGAGAGAGGCAGAGACACAGGCAGAGGGAGAAGCAGGATCCGTGCAGGGAGCCCAATGCGGGAATCGATCCTGGAACTCCAGGATCACGCCCTGAGCCAAAGGCAGACGTTCAACTGCTGAGCCTCACCTAGGCATCCCGAACTTATTTATTTTGTAACTGGAAGTTTGTACCTTCTGATCATCTTCACTCATTTTGCCCATCCCCCAACACTGCCATCTCTGGCAACTATCAATATGTTCTCTGTATTTACGAGTTCCATCTTGAGTTTGTTTTTTTTATATTTTACTTAATTTTATTTACTTGAGAGAGCATGTGAGCAGGGGCAAG